TCAGGCACTGCTTTTCTTTTCGTCCCTTGGCCATGCCCTCCCGCGGGACTCCAGACCCTAGGAGATACTGAGGAATGGGGAGACACTTCTATTTCAGAGCAAGTGGCTAAGCAGTTTTGGGAAATTCCTCAGTTTTTGCCTTTTCTGACTTTTTCTTTTATTTTTCTGGGAGACTCAAACTGCACAGTATTAGACCTTCTGTTTATCTCCTCTCTTTTGCAAATTCTATATTTTCTCTTAAGTTTTCATTGTATCTGATCTTTCTGTTTGACTTTCCTGTGTCTAAGCCTGCAGGGCTGCTGGCTGGACAGTGGTTTAGCCCCTGGCTAACTGAGTGCGCAGTGGATTGAACCAGCCACTGTGCGCGAGATGAATGCATGGTCTGCTTCTAAATCACTGTGGTGTTGGTTGCTATGTCCCTTGTGTCAGAGCCAGCGCATCGCTTGACCTCCAGCAGGTTTTCAGAGTCAGTACATTGCACGGAAGGAGACTGCTGACACTTCTCTGGCAGAGCAGCCTGTGTGTAGGACCACATGTCTGTGCGTTGGCTACAGCTCCTTACCCATTAGAAGCCCTGTGGGCAGTTCTCCTCTGCTTCACTCGCTGCTATGCATTGAAATGGGCTTGATGCCAGTGGAATAGGCATTAGTTTCTACATTACTGCCCTCTTCAAGTTTTCTGTTCATAATTGACTTTCAGTAGTTCATTATGGCACATGTGGGTTTTTTTCCTTTTTAAGATCCTGTCTGATGCTTTCTAAGCATCTTGCCTCTGTGATTTGGTGCCCTTCTTTTTTATTCAGAGACTTCTCATTCACTGTTTGTTCACATGTATCTTTTCTCTCTTCTTGTGTTGGTTTTCTATTGCTGCCACACAGATTAGTTCAAACCTGCTTATGACAGCATGTGTGTGCTGTGTCCTGGCTGCCTAGTCACGAAGTCCTGTGCAGCCTTGCTGACTGACGCCACGTCTTCATAGGTGTCTCTGGTGGGGAATGTGTGGGACAGGTACTGCAGGTGGTTTGCAGAATCCACGGCCCTGTTTGGGGGATGGCCTTCCACTGACTCTCCATCAAACAGCCATTCCTCGGCCACCTCTTCTCATGTGGGCCTCTCCCTCGTTCTCCCTGCAGCACCAGCCCGTCTTTGTCCACCTCCCACATCTCCCCAGTTCTCTCCAAGGAAGTTCTCCATGTTGATGACTCACGTGAATGCACTGGGTCCACCTGATAATTCACAGTCCTCTCCCTGTCGTGAGGTCGTGTCCATTGTTTCACATCGTTTCACTCTGTCCATCTTGTGTCCTCCTGGCAGTGTTCTGAGGCTTGGACCTGGGCAGGCCGTTGTCACATGACACTTCTTCTGAGATTGCTGTCATGTTAATTGGAAACTATGGGATGTAGTTAAAATGCTATCTTTGGTTCAGTATCTGATACCTAAGAACTTGTTCTGATGTGGATAGATGCAGCCCTGAACTCTCTGGAGTCTGTTGGGAGACCAGCAGAGATATTTTTTAGCTCGGTTACCATGATTTTCATCTCCGTCTGTGATTCTGTGTAGTTTTCTGCTGAAATCTTTTCATACGCATTGCTCATCTTCCCAGTGTCGTGGCTCCGCTATTGTTACTATTTTATTATGTGATACTCAGTTAGAACTGACTCGTGGCAGAGCCTCCCCTCGGGCTGCACAGGCTGGAAATCACCAGTAATCGACATAGAAATCGCCTGTGATTCCATCTTGCTTGGATCCACAGTCAACACTATCGGCACTGTTGTTGTTGTTGTCGTGTGCCTTCCTGTTGACAGAGACTCATAGTGACCCTGTGCACAGTAGCCTTAAATCCTGCTCTGTCCTGGGCCGGTCTCACCCTTTCTAACACACCTGCCCTCATTACTCTACTTACTGTATCGATCCATCTCACCCATGGTCTTTCTCTCCTGCACTGTCCCTCCACTCTTCTCAGCATGATTTCATTCTCCAAGATGGAGCTTCACAATCCTTCCCTTTAAGAAACAGCTTGACTTCATCCTCACCAGAACAGACCTGTTAGTTCTCTTGACAGTCCATGATCTATTCAAGATATGTACTTCCAGACACACAAGGGCTCATTGTGGCAGTCACCGTGTCGAGAGTCACCTTCGCCGACCCTCCACCCTTCCTAGCATTAATGTCCCTCTTGGACGAAGAGCGCCTTCCTCCTAGCAACATTCCTGCTAGCAACATGCCACACTTTGTGAGGTGAAGCCTCATCATTCTTGCCTCCAAAGAGCACTCTGGCTGCACCGTCTCCAAGACTTAACTGTGTTTTCTCTTGGTTATCCATGGGATGTTTGGAGCTCTTCTCCAATACCACAGCTCAAAGGCATCAATTCTTCTGTCATCCTCATTCACTTTCCAGCTCTCAGATGCATAGCAGATGATCAGAAGAACTATGTATGGCCTGAATCAGATGCACCTTAGTCCTCAGATTGACATCATTACTCCTCAGTGATTTGGAGAGATCCCTAACTGCAGATTTTCCTAGTGCAATAAATATATCTCATTTCCTGACTGCTGTTAAATTATTTAACCAATAATTTGTTGAGCATATTATTCAAGAAGTTGGACTCTATAAAGAGTAATACTGTATTAGGATGGGATTATTGACGGGAGGGAGACCCATGAATAACCTGTGTTATTCACACCCTTGCTTGCTGAAAGTGAGGAGGACTTGAAGCACTTGTTGTAGAAGATGAAGGAATGCAGCCTTCAGTATGGACTGCATCTCAATGTCAGGAAAACAAAGATTTTTGGCACTGGGCCTGTAGGCAACATCATGGTGGATGGAGAGGCGATGGACACTGTGAACAGCTTTCTCTTGCTTGGACCCACTGCCAGCTAGTGGATTATAAATCTTAACCGATGGTGCAGGGAGGAGGAACCATCTCTTCCTCCTGCAGCGCGACTCAAGTCCTTGACTTGGAACACTCATCACTGATCCTCCAGTAGATTTTCACAGACTGTAAATTGCATGAGAGGAAGATTGCCCATCTTTCTCTGGCGGAGCAACTGATTGATTTGACTGCCTCACTTGCGGCAGAAGATCAAAGACTATACCCTTCAATATTGATTACATTTCAACTTCAAGAATTAAAAAAAAAAGAAAGAGACAGAAGTCCTCCCCAGAGAGCCACAGTCAACATGTAAATGATGGGGGCATTTCACCCGTCAACTGTTCCTTCTTGTCTCCATGCACACTTGACGCCTGTGGTAGCTGCGGTCAGGAAATCAAAGGGCATCCTGCATTGAGTAAATCTGATGGTAAGGACAGCTCAGAGGTTTTAAGGATCAATATTGGGGAGCTCTGGTCGCCAGAAGAAGCTGCGCTGCGATCTCAAAGGCATGTGATTCCAGCCCACCAGCTGCTCCGTGGGAGAAGGTTGGGCACTCTCCTCCCATGTGATTAACTGCCTCTGAAAACCCGCAGGAGGGTCAGCTATGGGTCAGTTCTGACCCAACAGTACACAACATCAAATGCAGTTGAAAGACCAAAGTGCATCTGATTCAAGCCGTGGTGGTTTTGATTATGTATCTGGAAGTTGGGCCATAAGTTTGGCTGACAGAAGAGGGTGTACTGGAGAGGAGCACTGAGGACCCCACTGACTGCAGAAGTGAAATGGGATAGTGTAGCAATGTTTATGAGAAAATAGTCCAGAGAGTCATTCATTGTTTGGAAAAAACGCCTGTCTTACTCATTACACTTATGGCAACTCTGTCTTGGAGGAAAAACAAGGAAGTCCTGTAGAAAGTGCAGCTGGGGTGAAGCTTCATCTCACAGATTTTCGGCATGTTGTTATGTGGGGCCAGTTGTTAGTAAAAGACATCAAATTTTGAAAGGTGGAGGATCAGAAACAGGGAGGAACAGACCTCATCCATACAGCGGGATGGGCCAGACAGACGGAGAAGAATGCAGACTCAGCTGTCTGTGGAGCTCTTGGTGCTGGGCCTGGACTGCGTCCTCCAGCCCCAGTCCACTGGTGGCGTTGCTCTCATTTCCCAACTGTCTTTGGAGTAGGCTTTTTTGTTTTGTTTTGTTTTGAGTAGTCTTACAATTGTCCATTAAATTGTACTGTGTGTTCTCCAGATCTGCAACTTGTTGTTCAGTGTGTCGCAGTTAATTTCAAACTTTGATAGCTTCAAAATTGGCATGTAATATTGACTTGCCATCTTATGTCGAATTGTATTTATTCGTCTTTGTCTTCTTTTCCACAGCATCACTGCGAAACTTGAAAGAGCTCTTGAGAAAGTGGCTCCTCTTCTTCGTGAAATCTTTGTGGACTTTGCCCCATTCCTGTCTCGCACGCTGCTTGGCAGCCATGGGCAGGAACTCCTGATAGAAGGTAAGGCTCTCCTCTGGGTCTGCTCATTTCAGGTTCCCAAGGGCTGCTTTGTGCCTGAGGGGACTCTGACAGGATGAGAAGACACCTCTACTACAAGCTCTAGGGAGCTCTTCAATCTGTACACCTCCTGGCCTTCGTTTACATGAGCTGCCCTGGAAAGAAGGGGGACTCCAGCCTGGTGCCGACATTCCTGAGGTCAGGGCTGCTGGGCTCTCTCCTCTCAGGGTCGTGTGTTTCCCTGCGGTGGTCTGTAGCTCTTCCTACTCCAAAGGCCATATTCCCTAAAATGACGCTCTGCTCACAGATCAGGTCATAGGAGATTCCTTAAAAGAGTAAACATTAAAATGTAGAAACCTCTTATCTGTCGGCTGATGTAGTTGTGTGATTGCACTCAGCAGCTGCTCAGCGAGGTGAGCGATGGCGAAGAGAAATGAACCAGTGCGAAATTTGAGTTTATGCGCCTGGATGAGGAGAGTGGCTTTGACAACTCTGTCCTATGAAGACTGGTTTTCTTTTTTGAAAACCCTTTCTTTTTTGAAAACCCCTCTGTGAGTACTTTTGTAATAGCTGATCCATGCAGAAGATCCCGTGACAGATGGCGGTCCGGTGACATTTCCAGTGTCCTTGCCCTGAGCAGCCTCAGGTGCTTTCATGGGAAGCTGTGGTTGTGCAGTGCTTAAATCCTTGGTTGCTACTGAAAGCCTGACACCATGGACCCACTGAGCACTCCTGGGAGAAGAGATGGACAGTCTATTCCCATAAAGCTCGTGGTCTTAGCACTCAGGCGTGGTCACACTCTGCCCTCCGGGCTCGCCGTGCTCAGCATGGGGCACACGGCTGTGGACCGTGCACCCCGTCTCTGTGCGCGTGCAGTGCAGGAGGGGCCTGTCACGCTGCTGCATCACTCACTTTATATCATGTCCTTCGTCAGCCCACGCAGTGAGGGCTGCTCGGTCAGCATTAGGAAGGAAGAGCGAGTCCCTCCTTGGTCACCTGTCTGCATGCTCACGTGAGGAGTGAGGAGGACAGTGACGTGAAGGAGAGCTGCTGAAGCGGTGGAGGGAGGCTGGGGTTTCAGATCATAGAGGGGCCCAGGGGCAGTGCAGTAACCAGAAGTGGGGTGTCTGGAGGCAGTGCAGTGACCGGAAGTGGGGTGTCTGCAGGCAGTGCAGTGACTCTGGGAAGTGAGGTGTCTGGAGACAGTGCAGTGCTGGGAAGTTGGGGTGTCTAGAGATAGTGCAGTGACTGAGAAGTGGGGTGTCTGGAGGCAGTGCAGTGACTCTGGGAAGTGGGGATGTCTGGAGATAGTGCAGTGACTGTTGAGAATTGGGGTGGCTCTGGCAGAGTTATTAGGAGGGATTGTGGGGCATCGTTTTCATGTCACTGTTGTTACTAATACCCCCACCATTCACACAGTGGAATACTACGCAGCACACAGGAGCAATGATTCTGTAAATTCTTACCTAACTTGGGAGGGACTAGAGAGAATTATGTTGAGTGAACTAACTCAGTCCTACAAGAAAAATTATTGTATAAAACCGTTATTGTAGAATGGATATAAGGATCCAAACGGGGTGGGGGAGGGTGGCATCAGAGGGATGAGGATGTGCAGAGGGAGTGGGGACTTATCTTGGAGTTGTATAACTTTATGGGGGGGGCGGTGAGGAAATTGGAAGAATCTGTTCTCAAAAACAGTGTATTCAGATTTTGTAAATAAACTAGTATAAGGGGGGAAAATACCTCCACCAAGGAATGGTATTCTGAGAAGACTTACATGACCTTAATGCAACCCCATAAAATCCAAAACCCGTCTGTCCTGGATCCCTTCTTACTCCTGATAAACCCTCCCTCAGGTTTCTGAGGTTGTAAATCCTTATGGAAGAAGACTGCCTCTCACAGGCGTGTGGATTTAGCACTTCAGGGAGTTGGCAGTCTGACATTGCCAACAGAAGTAGAGTATCTGTGAGCTGTAGCAGGTGAAACACACATGGAGTGCCCGCTCTGTGATGACCTGGGTGGTTTCCTTCTCTTAGTCCTGCCTGCCTTCAGAGCAGTGCTGCTGAGAGATGCCGTGACCTGGGGAGAGTCGACAGAAGGGAGCACTCCCAGGCCCCCTCACGGCTTCACACCAGTTTGCTGCTTTGTAATGCTCGTCTCCTTCTCCAGTGACTGGGCCTCCGGATGGCGTCTCCACCGCATGTGACAGCAGGTGCTTGTCCTTCTGCATGGTGGAGTCCGTGTTCTTGGTCAGCTCCACAGTTCAGTCAGTCCTTAAACCTCCCTGTTCATCAGTGTGTGTCCAGCCTTCCTCTGTAGGCAGTGGTTTGAGGCCCATGTGCCTTAGGCTCCACAGCACCATCTGTGCTGATTAATGCGGAAGAGCTCTCCTGAAGCAGAAAGACAGTGTGTGTTCCAGCTACTCGTACGGTCCCCAACACAGTGCTGAGTGGTCAGCTCTCCCTCACACGGCGTCCCTCACAGAGTGGTCAGCTCTCCCTCACACGGCGTCCCTCACAGAGTGGTCAGATCGCCCTCACACGGCGTCCCTCATGGAGTGGCCAGAATTTCCTCGTGCAGCATCCCTCATGCAGTGCCCTGAGCTCAGGTTTTGCACACAATACGTCAGGAACCTCCATTGCTCACCCTCTTTCCAGTGGGTTCTGAGATCCCCACCTCACTTCTCTCTCCGTTTTCTTCCTGGTGAGAGGAGATGATGTGAACCATGTCCCAGGGAAGGGGCTGTGGCCTAAGTTAGGATATGACGGCCTCTCAGCCTAGTCCCCTGACTGAGCTCAAATCATGGGCCGTGAGTACCTGCCTCCTTCTGGCATAGAGGTGGAAGTCTGGAGGACAGAGGATCCTGCATACAGCTGAGGACCCAGCCTCACCACGTTGACAGACGTGGGAAGGGCCTGAATACATGTTCGTCATGTGGAGCCCCGTTCGTCAAATATTATTAAAATGAAATATTCTGTTGTACTGTATTTTAAAACTTTCCAAAGGAGCATAAATGGTGTGCTAGCTGAAAATGGTGCATGGGAATTAGGTCTCCCAGAGAGGGCTCTGTTGTCAGCCGTGTGTCAGGACTTCTGGGCCTTTTACTCCATCTCTGTTCTTGCCTCTTGGCTGCTGGTGGGGAGCTCCCTGCTTCTCTGAAACGTGTGTTGCTCTTATAGTGAGAAAGGAGTCAATAAATATTGGAGGGGAAAAAAATGAGCTCTTAAATATTTCTTCTTTCCCTATAAGATAAAATCTTTTGGGGAGAGTAACTTTTGGGGGGTGTCTTGCCCTTTTCCCAAAATGATTCGAGTTTATTTACAGAAATTCACTAAATAGTGATTGCAGTGTGTTAAAATGAAATGAGGAATAAAGGGAGTAATGTGTAACAAATGGGGTCCAGGCTCTTAGGAAAATTTGGATTACACATTCTCCACGAAGTTTTTCACAGCCAGAGCAAAACAAAAAGCCTATGGAATTACGAGAATCACATCATTTGTTCCTAAGTGCCTCTATGTGACATATTTAGGGACCAAGGAATTAGTCTCATGTAACTCCGCTGTGTGAACTGGTCAGGACCCCATATGTGCAGCCTTGTTTTCTATGGATTGCCTCTTATTTATTTCTCCCAAACACAACAGTGAGGAGCTAAGATAAATCTCTGTGATGGGCACTGTTTTCAGGGGACTACCCTGACTTCATCTCCGTTGTTCTAAAGGGGACTCTGGGAACACGGGGATAGTTTCCATTAGCATCAGGACATCTTGGTGAGAAGAAGGGGGCCAGGAAACGAGAGGACCTGAAATGGAACAGTCGGAGCACAGAAGAGAATGTTGGTGCCTTGTGGAGAATGGCCCTGAAGTCCCAGAACGATTTATGTCAGAATAGTCAAATGGGAACCTAATTTGTCATGTAAACTTTCATCCAAAACACAAATGGTTACAAATGACAAACTGTTTTTCTTATATATTTTGCTGGAATAAAACTTTTGAAAATTAATGCCTAAAAATGACTTTGCGTTGATGTGTTTGCAAGTGTCAAAAAGCAGCGATTACAGCGAAAGCACAGAAGCAGGTCTATGTTCCAGGACTTTCGATAGACTGGGCTGCGCGGAAGAGAAGCAGAGAAGAATGTTGGGAGGAGTTAATCTTAGAGTTAAGATATAAGGAAGTAGAGTTAGGGATGGCTTAGGGCTGTCAAAAACAGAACAGATCCTAGTATTTATTAAAGGGCCTTGGAATTATAGGCATTTGACAATATAGAACATTTAAAATCATGGATAACATCTTCTCAATATTAGAACCTGTACATAGACCAAGAAGTATGTTGTTCCTACAGAAAAAGATATTATGGCCTGGTTTAAAATCAGGAAGGGGTGCATCTCTTTGCTCCATCCAGATACTAAACAGATAATTAGAGGAGCTGGACTACAGGTAGCAGAGGAATGCAGCACTGGGGATGGAGGCAGATTTCTGAAGACGCTGTGTTGTGCCAGTGATACAGCCTTGCTCACTGAAAGCTGAGGACTTGAGCCATTTCCTGCAGAAGGTCAGAGACCACGCTCTTCAGTATGGATCGCATCTCAACATCAAGAAAACAAAAATCCTCACCACTGGTACAATAGGCAACATCAGGGTAGATGGGGAACAGTTGATGTTGAGGATTTTGTTTAAGTGATTCCTATCAATGCCCATGGTATAACATCCGTCAAGAAAATGAGGAGACCTTTGTGTTGGGAGACTGTCCTGTCATGGACCTCTCCAGAGGGCTGTAGAGAAGCAGTGTCAGACTGAAGACTAATGTGGGCTTGATCCCAGTCATACTGTTTTCAGCTGCTTCTCAGGCATCTGAGTTGGATAAAGATGACAAAGGACGAGTTGATGCGTTGAATTGTGATGTTTGAGAAGAACATTCGATACCTCATGAGCTCCCAGAGGAGCAGACAGATAGGTCTTGGAGGTGGTCAGCCAGGGTTCTCCTTAAAAGCAAAGACAGAGCAGCTT